CCCTGCCAACCCCGAACATTCTGTGATTCTGTGTGCCATCACAGGTCCAATCAGGCTCAAGAGAAGTTCTCTCCTGGCACACACGCTGTGCGAGACCCTGCCGGGCAGCGTGACAAGCAGAGCTAAGACACAGGTACTTCAGGAAGACAAGTTTGGTCATGTGTCCCCCCTCCCAAACAAAGTAATTCCCATTATATAGCGATACATCCTGCCTAATTCAGATGGGAGTTCGCAAGTAGCAGCGAAACTTCTCTGTAAGTCAGGAGAAACACACAGACCTTGCAGCAATTTAACAAAACACCACCACGCTATTTTAATCATTATAGGGAAAGGCACAGTGATGAAGGCATCCAAGTGAATTAGACCATTTTAGAAAATATATTCACACATTTTCACGCTTCCTTCACTTTGTGTAGGAAACCCCATCGTCATCATTCTCTGAAGTTACTCCTTTAACAAAGTTTTATAACTTTATCTCTAAAACTGTAAGTATTTCACAGAATGCTACATAAAAATTCGTAATTTAAAAGCTTCAGTTAAACCCTACCCCAAAATAATCACCTCCTGATTGTAAAAAGCAGAGCAGGCCGCACCGTTAAATGTGCTGACTTCAGATTCACCATAGTGTGTGACTGCTTTACATTTTCATGCTCTTCATTCTGTTAGTACATGTCAGGGCCACACCTCGAGTGGGAGGAAGCGGCTTTCGCAATCCTTTTGTAGCATTTACTGTTGATAGGCAACACTCCCGGCGGGGAGCGAAGCCATCCTTGTTCCACTGTGAAGACACAACTTTCACACAGCCCTACGGCACTGCAGCGTTTGGAATATCTGAGTCTCTGTCCAGTGCCACTGTGGCTAAGAATAGCGACCAAAGCTTTTCTTTGAAGGGCTAATTATTTGAATTTCCAGGTTGCCCTTTTCTGGTAAAGTAGAGGTCACCGGGGCGGGGAAAAAGAAGACAAGTGAAGCCTTTCTCTCTCAGAAGCAGCTCAGCTCCGCGCACTAAAAACATCGGCTAGCACACCTGACCTCCTATGCTAACACCCTCCCTCAGGCATGTCAGAGGAGTACAAAAAGTAACTTTTAAAAAAAGAAAAAAAAAAAAAAAGTATGGCAAATTGCCTGGTAGCAAACTACCCACAATTATCTGCATTACCCAACATCCTGTGAACATCTGCTTTAAAAGTATTCTCAAGTACTTTGTCCCTGGGGCCACATAATTCTTTTTTGTAGCAATTATGCAGAACACAGCAAGCTCCTCAGCTTAGTACCAAACTTGTTTAACATCTCTCTGTGATTTAAAGCGTGTTCTCCACACAGACTCTCTTCCAGGTGCACCTGGGATAAAACTTCAGTATCACTACGAGTTCAGAAGAGTAACCAGCGCTTCCTCAGCTCGCCTCTCGCCAGCCACGTGGGAAATGGGAAGCCTTCCTGACTCACCGCTCTTTGGGCTCCAAGGGAAGCAGCGCGCAGCGTGACTCAATTCAGACAGGTTTCTGTAGCTTGCCTCCCTTCACATTTGCTTTTACAAAGGCCGTTTCCACAGGATTGCTCAACGTGCTGTACAAAGATAAGCTCCTTTTGCATTACCAGTTGTCAAAGGGAAAAAAACCCCAAACCCACTAAAGTAGTTTCTGATCAGCGCCAACTTCCCAGATTTAAGTGAAATGAAAAATGACTGTTTGTGTATACATTTTAATTTCAGCTCTATAAAAAAACACAAACAGCAATCAGGTGGACAGCGTATCTGAATTGCATATCTAAACTGATTTGGATTTGGTAATCCCTTGTTAGGCTCATTTTTCTCTGAAATACTCTACATTGATGTAGCAGGCTCCAAATATTGTCTTCAGTCGCTGATAAAGCCCTTTATTCCCTATCAGCAAAACCCTTAAGCGGGGCTCCTCCTTCTATCTCCAGTAGTTTAATGTAAGCTAGGGGACTGCAGACTCCAACTCAAACGGAGTCACAGAGAAAGTGACGCCCGAGCAAAAGCACACGGCGAACCACCCCACGCTTGCGGTCCTTCAGAGGACCCACCACCCCTCCAGGGAGGAGGCAGCGTTTAGACCAGAGGCATGGGCAGCCCACCCGCCACAGAGGGTCTTCGGGCCTCACCCAACGGCCCAGCACTGTCCCAGGAGACCCTCGCGCTGTGCCTGGCACCAGCCCCTCCTGCTCGGGCAGACACACCTTTACCACGTGTCGCGCTCCCTCCCGCAGGCGTCGGTGCCCCACCAGCTCCTGCCAGGCACCGCGACTCCTTCATCCACGAAGCTGAGAAGTCGCGGGCTGGCAGGGGCAAACACTTCAAGCGCCGGTTTTGCACCGCACAGCTGTACCGGCGCTGCTCTCGCAAGCAACACGTTGCCCGTTTTATCTTTGCCATTAAAGGCTGCAGAGTTCATTCAACGCAGACAAGTCGCTACACGTACAAGAGGGGTAAAACCACACTAACCCGTCAATCATTCACAACTCAAATCTTTGCTTCACTTCATCTGCAATCATCTGTGCGATGGCAAGGGAGGAGGTAGCAGCAGGAGAAGGGGCATTTCTGACATGAAGAATTCTGCTTCCAATATCTCCGCTGCCTCCATCGAACACAAAATCATCCACTAAATTTCCGTCGCTGTCCAGTGCTTGAGCTCTCACTCCGGATGGACCCCTGCAAAATAAAGGAGGAGCTCACCATTAGAAGAAAATGTTTCCTAAAGCCAGAAAATCAACGCTGTTCTGAGCTTGTGAAGGCGCCCAGGGAAACAGTAAGGAAGGTGGATTGTGGAGTCAAAGCCCAGTCAGGCTTTTGGGGGAGCGCAGGGAAGTTTAACATTTGTGCGGCAGAGGGGGGGATGTCTCGCAGTCGTTACTGGAAAACAAGGGCAGGTAGCCAGGCAGAGGATCTTCTGTGTCTTTCCTGGTTGGGAAGTTCCCCACACACACAAACATGCCCCGTCTTTCAAAAAGGGAAACCCTTTGTTTTGCAATAGCAAGCCTTGTCAACCACGAATTTCACGCCAATGGCATACTGCCTGGGCTGGATAACTCCCTTCAAACATGCTCGAGCTTTTCTCATTCTGGATTTTTACTCGGAAAATGTTTGGACAACTAAACCCACCTCCACGTACTCCTCATCTTTCCTCACAAGTCTCTTCAGTTCCTTAGCGTTTCTAAACTCCCTCTGAATTAGTTTCTCTCTCCAGGCAGTAGGAAGCTGAATACAATTCTATTAAGATGATGAAGCCAAGTCAATATTCATTCTGTAGCAACTCACAGTCTGGCTACCCCTCTGAATTTCATTAGTGTTTTGCTTTCTTTGTGGCCTCAGATTATGTTCAGGCGACTGAATGTGTCACTAGGATAAAGAGACGACTTCTTTCTAGGGAATCTGACACAACTGTGAATTTCAGCCTGTGAAGAGTGTAGAAAGTCTCCAAATCTTCACCAAACTTGCCTGCACACAAGGAAACACCGTATAAAAGGCCCTCCTGTCTTCTAAACGCTTCTATGCTTTGGTTGCATATTTTGGTGGAGGAAGGGAGTAAGCTAATGCTACCTTTGCTACTGTCAAAACCAAGAGATCTAACAAGGCACGGGGTATTACTAACAAGAAGAGTTTTCTGTACCTGAGTACATCATGGACGGTGACCTCAGGGATGAACTTCTGAAGCTGCTTCACCTGCGCGCTAAGGAAACACGCTCTGTACATTTCGCTCAGTCCGTAAGACAAGTTTCTCAGCACAAGCTTCCACAACCCACTGTCGAGAGAAAAACTAACTGCAGTCAGAACAAATGGTGCACGATAAATGCAGCCACGTCAAACTAACGCCAAGAAGGTAGCAAATGCAACCGCGTGTCCAAAGTTCCCGCTCCCAACATCAGTGGTCTGCTCAACGCGTTCTACCTGAGAAATACGTTTGTCTTTCCCTGCTTCAACAAACCTTGTTTACAGAGCTGTAGTGCTGCATTTACACTCT